TTGCCAGTGGACTCCTTTCTCTCCTAAACTTATCTCAATCCTGTACTCTCAACTATCTAACCTGCAGAACCCAGTAGCCACGCTTACGTCTCCAGATGGGAAAGTAACCGCAAAGGCACTAAAGATCATGCATGTTGGTCACAGATATGGTCAACCCTGACCTCATGCTCCATCAATGTCTTCACTTTGGAATCGGCCAAAAATTCAATTCAAAACAGTGACAAGATGGTATCTTTCCCCTTCTGCCTAGCTTTTCTCTTCTCATCAGCCCCTAACACTTGTTTTTGTGGCTGTAATACACCGGGCGATGTCCTACACATATGGTGGACATGCCTTATGACCTCCCGATTTTGCTCAAAACTCAAATTACTTCAATCATTACTCACCTACCCCAGAGAGACCCACAGTGCACTTACACTTTCAAACCTCCGGGCCTGCCTAAACACAAATTTAAACTATCCACCCATTTACTATTGGCAGCTAAACAAACCATAGTGAAAGCCTGGAAACAGCAGTTTGTATCCTTCACAGACGTTCATCACCTCCTTGACTTCTTTCTAATAAATTAAAAACTGGCTAGTATACTCAGACACCCATGAGAGATTCCTTAAAACTTGGACTCCGTGGATTCAATATGCCCATCCGGAAATCTCAACAAACAGCTTTACTTCACTGTAACCCAACCATACCTCACTAACTGCACTCAAGCGTGGCGAGCATCCACTTCTTACTTGTCTCCCTTCTTCTCTTTCTCTCCTCTCTTTTAATTTCTGTTTTTCGGCTCTTCCGCAGGGATGCCTCCTGAACTACATGATGTCTTTACATCTCCTATTTTGCAAGCATTTTAGCATATCTTTATCGCTATAGGTTTTCTTTAATGATGTCTGCCGGTGACCTACAATCAAACAACCTTTTTATACACCAATTACCTGTTCGACAGAAAATGTTTGTTCTACCTCTGTTTTTGGACAAGTTATCCAAATCGTTATCTACTTTAACTATACTTCATACATGTAAAACTGCTGTTGACTACTGTTTCTGGTTGTAATCCTGAATTTGATTTTGAAAGCTGTCTAATTTGTACTTGAAATATTAAAAAAAAAACAATAAACATCTATTGAAAAGAAAATGGTAGTGAGCAGGGCCATGGATAAGGGGGGTACCACCAGTCCTCCTGTATGGGGCCCAGGCCAGCAGGGGGGGTCCAGGCAGCTGGGTGAATTTTATGTGGGCATGGAGGGTGATTGCCTCAGCGGGGGGGGAGGTGACAATTACTAAAACCAATCCCCTGTATGGCTGTCTCTGCAGCAGTGAAAGCTGGCGTCTTCTCCTCTCCCTACCGCTGGCTTTCAGCTGCTGCAGAGAAAACCGTAGAGAGGATCGGTTCCAGTAATTGCCACCCACCACACCTATCACCCTCCCTGTGAACCATCTGTTTCCCCCTGTGTGCCCCAGTGCCGTTGGCTTCCCTCCTCTCCTTCCCACCAACAGCTACAATCACATAATAGGATCGTTCAGGATGGAGAATGGGGAAAAGGACTGTGAAATGTGTCACATTTTACCAGCCCCTTCCTTTCCTGAATTCACACAATGAGTTATCTCTACCAATCACTCATTGTGTTCATTCATAAATGAAGCATTATAAACTCATTTTTCTTTTGAGGGGGGGGGGGCTGTCAGGTTGGCTGTATGGGGCCCCATGGTTTCTATCAGCAGTCCTGGTAGTGACTTAAAAAAACACACACACACACTCAGGTTGAACTAAATGGATTGGTGTCTTTATTCAGTCTTACTGACTATGTAACCAATTGACACATATTTTGCTAGTTTCAATAAAAAAAGAGACCCAGGAGCATTTATAAAACATTTATTAGAAGACAGGACAAGGGTATAAAGGCACACCTAAAAACATTCTAAACAACAAACACATGATGATAGATAACTCTAGATGTAATGCTGACAAGCATATTTTATTTTGAAATTCTTTTATAACTCCTTATAGAGAAGTCATTACAGCATGTGGAGGCTATGAATTATCCTGTCTCTAGTTCCAGTATTGGAAAGCTACATTCTGTACCATGTAGGTCCTGCCCACAAAAATTGCTGCCTTTAAAGTGCGCATGACCATTTAAATATTTTTGATTTTAATGGATCATTTTGCTGAAGAACAAGGCAAATTCTTCTCAACATTCACATACCTCCTGAATTCTGTGGACTTTTTATGGCTATTGAAATAGGAAGGGCTTTAAAGGGGTAGTTACCTATATTATATAATGGTGGGGTGAGTTAGATCCTAACAGTGACCTGATCTAGTGTGTGAAAACACTGGTGTTGTGAAACCATAAAATATAATTTGATGCCATTTATACTGACTGTATCACCACGCAAGGACGTTCCCCTTTATAATTACTATTAAACAACAAAAATATCTGATCGCCTTTAACATTAAATACAAAAATAAATTACACAGCTTGATCATAAATATTAAATAAAATATAATAATACGGGAATAAATAGTATAAATAGAGTTAGGAAAGCAGGACAGTGCAGAATTCGTATCTGGATAATGTTGAAAATATCAGAAATAGCTTTTTGTTCATTTTTGGAGAGCCTGGCTATTGTAAGTAAATGAATGTTGAGTAGTTTAGAGAATACTTTTATGGAGAATTGTAGAGAACCAATTCAATTTACCTGGAATCTAGCTTATGACCCATCTATATAGTAACATAGTGGATCCCACAGCTCCAAGGTTGTATGTTGTCTTACCAAGACATGTCTGTCCTCAGAACTGAGCACAACATTTGCTGATAGTAGAAAGTGTTCATCATTACCCAGTATGGAAGATCTTCACTTTGCTTTTAGAAGGAAGCATTGCTTCCATGGATTGGGCTGTGTATGGGGTATACTCCCAGGGGTGGACTGACAACTCATGGGGCCCCCGGGCAATAGGGGATCATGGGGCCCGTATGTCCTTGCCTATACTCAAACCACACCCAAAAAAAACCTATTAAAAAGGTACCAGGGGCATCTCATGGGGCCCCCTACTGACCCCGGGCCCTCGGGCAGTGCCCGAGTTCCCAAATGGTCAGTGCGCCCCTGGGTACTCCTATTAAGACCAGGATCTGCATTTAAAGATTCCCCATGCAGCAACACCTGCTGGATGAACTCAGTATTGCAGAGCAACAAAACAAAATACTGGTTTTAGGAACCATCATAACTGATTGGCTGAACAATCATCTGTCAAACTCTGTAAGTAAAATGAAAGAAGCATATTGCTTTCTAAAGAGTCTGTGGGAAGATGGAACGCCTTTGTTCTAAGGCGATAATCTGATTGTAATGGACAGAACAGTTTTTATTAGTAAAATTCAGGAACAAAAAGGATTTCCTAATAAAGAAAAAAATGTTAAAAACTAAGACGGATTTGGTCTTTAAAATATGCAAAGTTAAACATTTATGAAACATAGGAAATCCTTTCCCAATACTAGTATTCCTCCTCACGGAACGCACTTGCAGTGTAGCCAATGGCATGCAATTATTTTCTCAGTGATTCTCTACTGAAAAGATCTGGCGTCGTAGGTCAAAAAGTGACTCCACCGCCACCAAAGTAAATATTGCTTCAATTTATTATAACAAAATAATATTTTTAAAAAACTGTTATTTTGGGAAGCATCCTTGCATGTGGCACTGTATATGGCATCTGTGATGTCACATGATCAACAGTGACAAAATGATCACAAAACTGGCTGTCTGGTGCATTTTTACATAGGTCGGAAGGTCTATTCATTTTAAATATAAATTACAGGTTGTACTGGCCATGTCTGTACTGTACTTTATTACTTTTGGGGGGAAAGACTAGGATAAATGTATGTGGTTATACCCAAAAGTGTCCTTGCTTGTCAAGTATGGGTGGAAATTGGTGAATTTAGGGAATGGGTCACACTTGCCCTGTTTTTCTTGGAGGTATGGAAAGACAGTAAATCAGAAACAAAGGCAGATTTATGCTATGCTTTAGTATATTTTCCCATGTGAAATTTAAATGTGGTCTATGTTTTCACTATACGCATTTTACTAAATAGGCTAAACAAGCTGAACACAGAATTCATTTTGTCATTTTGGGCCAGTATTACCTGGCAATATGATCATGGAAGTGGATATCACTTTACTAGCAGCAAGGTCTTTGGTTGCAATTTAAAAATGGCCACATTTGTTCTATTTTACTGTATGTGTAGCCAAAAACCTTTTTTTTTGTTGGCTTTGGCTACAGCAGGGAACGTTAAAACCTGTCAGTTCATTTTATGTTGTATCCTGTTGGGGAGATTTCCCTTCACATCTTATCTCTATGGAAATTCTCCTCCATTGGTAGATTTATCCTTATGTTCATTTCTGGTGACAACTGTAAAATTTTAGATTTTCCATTACTTTGAGTGTTAATGATCATCAGGACCAATGGAGAGGGTGAATCTACCTTGAGTCCAAGTGATAGCCTCTGACAGAAATTCTAACTCCCCCCCCCCCCCCAAAAAAAGTCTGTACTTTAGGAGACTGAGGCACATTAACATGGGACATAGAATCATACTAAATGACTTCTCCACCTTTACGTATTTTGACCTTTTGTAGTACTTTTTAATTGGCTTTATTAGCCAAAATCTGTAAAAATAGAATTTCAAGTACTAATCTACTACATCAAGTGAGACTTTTGTTTTGTTCTGGTAAGGTAGATTGAAAGGATGTTTGATAAGGCAGGTATAAGAACAGTAATTTGTAAAAACTACAAATATAAACTTTTTTTTCTGATCACTTGGGCATAGCCTCTGGACTTGCCATGGTAATTTTTTAAAAGCAGAAGAGTTTGCTTAAGGAAATGCCCGTAACTTATACCAGATGGTGATTGTGGCTGCAGACCTAAATAGCCTACAAACTTATAATCACACTGCCAATCTGGAAGGAGTGTTGCAACGAAAGATGATTGGTTGAAGATCAAGTCGATGAAGGGTGCTTAGTTAGCAGAGAGACACATTAGAGGACATGGCCACTCGACTCCGAAGATGTTTGGCAAAATCCACTTGTGTCTGAGAGAGAACCTGGTTGATGATAGACTTAGGTAACCACCCCTAGGAGAAAGAGATCAAACATTAGGTGGAGTTAGAATTAGAAACAAGATCAACTGGATACATTTGAGGCATGTATAGTATCTTAGGGGTGCCAAGTAGTCCCTATTTGCAAGACCATATCTTACTTTCATTAAAATCACTTTTGTCCCATTTCCTTATCTTCTTCAACTTGCCAATTGCCCACCAAACCCTTATGATCCCTTAATTTCTTGGATGTAAATTTCAGCTCTAATATATGTTGTAGGATGAAGGACACGTGACCTTTAAACAGTAGCTGCTCCTATACAATACTATGACAAATACTGTATGTGTTGCTGAGAACTCTGTATTTTATAGATTAAGAACTGTTCTCCTTGCTGTCTAGCAGGTTTATGTGCTGGGAAGTCTTCAAATTGAGGTTTTTCCCCATCCACTTATCAATCCTTATGCCAGTTACACATTGATTGAGCAAACGCATTTAATGGTGCAGGCAGAAAGTCTGGGTGTGTATGTTACTGTACCTGAAAAGTGGATGGGGCTAAGCTTTCCCTGTTTATTTTGTATTTGGCCTGATTTAGGTGCTCTTATAGATTTGCGTAGGATCACACTTTACAAGTACATTGTTATGTTGTAATTTACTGTATTATATATATTTGCAAATGTTTGCTTTTATAGATGTTTTTATAGTTGGGTTGTCTTTGCTGGCTAACATGATTGAGCGCTGGGGAATTTCTGTAATGTTTACAGACCATAGATGCTGTGAAGCCTGGCTAGCATCCCATTGACATTTGTAGCCCTTCTGCAGTTATCAACCATCTAGGACATACCTTTAAGTCAATACTGAGCAGCCAAGTTAGTTTTGTCTTTGATGGATCTTCAAGTACCGGATGTAAAACCATACACGTAGGCCCGTTCTCTGCCCTGGAATCAAACACATTATACACAAGTTAGATACTTTACTCCCTGTTTCCAGAGTCTAATAAGGAGTCTTATTAGCTGCATATACAGTGTGTAGTATATTTATATTACAAAAATAAAGAATATTCATAACTCAGATAAAGAGAAGCTTGTTTGGTTTCTGAGGGGTAGGGTAGTGTTCTTCACTGTTGTTTGCCGTATGTTAGTAAGTAAGGGGTGAAGTATAGCAATCAATCGAACACACAACTATTTTAAAATTGTTGACTGATAATTGTTGGTTGGTTGCTACAGTTGTGTTCAAAATAATAGCAGTGTGTTGAAAAAATCAAATAAAGCTCAAAATTCTTCTAATAGCTTTTATTTCCATCCACACAAATGCATTGGGAACACTACACATTCTATTCCAAATCAAAACATGAAAAATATATCAAATTTGTGTTGTTCCTCTAAAAAAATTGAAGAAAAGTGAATATTAGACTGTTCAAAAAAAAAAATAGCAGTGTTTGTATTCTTCTTTACAAACTCAAACATTCACTATATAAACTGAAAAATGTTTGAAGATTTTGCTTTCCTTTGAATCACTTAATATTTGGTTGTAGTCGCACTGTTTCTGAGAACTGCTGTACATCTGTGTTGCATGGAGTCAACCAACTTCTGGCACCTGTGATCAGGTATTTCAGCCCAGGATGATTGGACTACATTCCACAGTTCTTCTCTATTTCTTGGTTTTGCCTCAGAAACTGCATTTTTGATGTCACCCCATAAGTTTTCTATTGGATTAAGATCCGGGGATTGGGCTGGCCACTCCATAACGTCAATCTTGTTGGTCTGGAACCAAGATGTTGCACGTTTACTGGTGTGTTTGGGGTCGTTGTCTTGTTGGAACACCCATTTCAAGGGCATTTCCTCGTCAGCATAAGGCAGCATGACCTCTTCAAGTATTCTGATGTATTCAAACTGATCCATGATCCCTGGTATGCGATAAATAGGCCCAACACCGTAGTATGAGAAACATCCCCATATCATGATGCTTGCGCAACCATGCTTCACTGTCTTCACAGTGTACTGTGGCTTGAATTCAGTGTTTGGGGGTCGTCTGACAAACTGTCTCCGGCCACTAGACCCAAAAAGAACAATCTTACTTTCATCAGTCCACAAAATGTTGCACCATTTCTCTTTAGGCCAGTCAATGTGCTCTTTGGCAAATTGTAACCTCTTCAGCATGTCTTTTTCAACAGTGGGACTTTGCGGGGGCTTCTTGCAGATAGCTTGGCTTCAAATAGGCGTCTTCTAATTGTAACAGTACTCACAGGTAACTTTAGACCTTCTGTGATCTTCCTGGAGCTGATTGTTGGCTGAGTCCTTGCCATTTTGGCTATTCTTCTATTCATGCGAATGGTAGTTTTTCGCTTTCTTCCACGCCTTTCAGGTTTTGGTTGCCATTTTAAAGCATTTGCGATCATTTTAGCTGAGCAGCCTATCATTTTCTGCACTTCTTTATATGTTTTCCCCTCTCCAATCAACTTTTTAATCAAGGTACGCTGTTCTTCTGAACAATGTCTGGAACGACCCATTTTCCTCAGAATTTCAAAGAGAAATGCACTGTAACCAGCATGTACAACATTTGCTGCCTTCCTTCCTTAAATAAGGGCAATAATTGCCACCTGTTTTTCAAAGAATGAATGACCTCACTAATATAACTCCACACTGCTATTATTTTGAACATGCCCCTTTCAATTAGTGATTAAATTACACAGAATCAGCAGCATGCATGTCATGACTGTTGGGTCTGTTAGATTTATATTACTCTACTACACCTGCTAGTAAATTATTTGCCATGTAGAAATATAATTTCTACCAAAAACAGTGATTGATCAGGTTAGTGATGTCTGACTGCTATTATTTTGAACACAACTGTATATGTTACCTACACCAAACTTCTCTCTATCTCCTGCGTTTTGGTCATTCCTGCTGAATGCATAGAGCCCCAAGAAAGGTGAGTACCACAGGGGTTTATTACTAAAGCTGGAGAGTACAAAATCAGGATCACTTCTGCACAGAAACCAATCAGCTTCCAGGTTTTATTGCCAAAGATTAATTGAATAAGCTGAGGTTAGAAGCTGATTGGTTTCTATGCAGAAGTGAGCCTGATTGTGCACTCTCCAGCTTTAGTAAAGAAACCCCACAGTGTTCAGCCCCATGTAGCTGCACACTGTCATAGACTTGAATGCTGCACCTGTCCCTCCTGGGCGTACTAAAACTGCAGGGGACGCACTGTAGCTTGATGGCCCTGTAAGGGGCCTTATTAACGGTAATTGCAGTCCTGTTTATAAGATAGGATACAGCACTAAAAGAATAAATACAGCTAAAAAAAAAAAAAGATCAAAGTGTCCCAAAGCATCTCTCATATACCAGTATCAAGATTTCAGCAGCAAGGACCTCTGATTTTTATTATAGCCTTAAACTTTAGTAATAGATAGTATGGCCAATAATTTTTTATCTTGGCTTACTTACGAATAAATCTACCAAACTTTCGCGTTGTGTACATTTATTAAATATAATTTTTTGTTACTTTATCAGAACTGACAAAAATGAATTGTAATTTGACTACTTTATTGTATGCAAATACACTTTACCTGACATAGCCTTTCTGTTCCGGCATTCCTCCAAACCTCGTGGACATGCCGGCCAAGATGCAGGTGGAGCCTCTCCTTTTGTTGCATCGAACACTCACAAAATCTCGAGGCCCAACAATATTCCCAGCAGTCTCTGCTGCTTTCTCATGTGTTATCACTGTATCCTTACCAATCTTTTGAAGAATCTGTGCAGTGGAGAAACAGGGTTTTAGACAGAAAGTCTACTAATCATGATTTTTGTCTCAAAAAGGATAAATAACAGAATTGTCAGTAAAAAAATAAAGTTTTTATTAAAGATAAAAAATATATATATATATATATTTTTTTTTTAACTGTAACCATGAGCAAAGCTAATCAGATACTATACTTTGTCTTTAATGGAAACTATTTCGGAAATATGTAAACTGCCATTGCTAAATTCTCCCTCTGAAAAATGCTAGTTCTTTGGCTGTCATGCTGATCCAATGACTTCGGTGGTCTGAGTCAGGAACAGGTTTATGTATCAGGAGTTTTGACTTTAATCTGACTTTGTTGGGTGCAGCTTCCACTGGGTCAGTGGCTCAAAAACTCTTGAAACCAGAGCCAGGTACCTATCCTTTTCAGAAGGTGGTAAGCTGTGGAAGCTTCCATATTTCCCTCAGTACAGGTTTTCTTTAAAGCAAAACTCCAAGCGAATATCATCACCCAGAGGCGGACTGACAACTCATGGGGCCCCCGGGCAATAGGGGATCATGGGGCCCCTGTGCCCTTGCCCAAACGCAAAAAAGCCTATGAAAAATGTTACCAGGGGCATCTCATGGGCCCCCTACTGACCCCGGGCCCTCGGGCAGTGCCCGAGTTTCCAAATGGTCAGTCCGCCCCGTCATCACCTCACCATCTCAGTTATATTTTCAACATATATGTCCTACTGTTAAGTCCACTCCGTGTGCACAGCTCAATATCCATTTCTTACTCAAATTATGGGTCACCTAATGTTTGAACATGAATAATGAAAAAAACGCCGATTTCCTCCTGTGAATATGAATCACCATGTTGTGACTGGAAAATGAAGTAGTGAACAGGGCTTTCTGCTCTCCCCTCCTATAACTAGGTACACTGTTGGGTAACCTTGAGTAGAAGGTGAGAATATCACCTCTGTGGCCAGGATTGCAGCATGTACACTGCTGCAGAGGCTACCTGCTCCCAGCAGGATATACTGTCAATTTTGACCAGCTAGTGACTCTTGGTGGACATCTGCATTGGAGGTTTCCATTTATATTTCAGTTCTTGTGGCCTGAGCACATTTCCAACTCTGTAATTTAAATACTAGACCAAGGCAGCTGTGAGCACTGTAGTTGTGCTGCTATAAGTAATAGCATATTATTTCAACCACAAGCTGGAGAACAACTTGTAAATCATAATTTCAGCATGGGAACTACATAATGACCAACACCACTATATAATCTTAGAGCTGTGGATATTCTGTAGATGGCAATAATTGTTCCAGCAAGTTGTCACTTTATACAAATAGCACACATTACCAGCTAACGGGTAAAAATGCTGAACCACTGTGAAGATATTAATGACTGAGATTAGAGCACATCAGACTCTAAGAATGTTCTTCTGTAGAAAATGAAGCAGACGCCAAGGCCATTGTGATAAAGGCCCAAGGAAATGCTGGATATCTGACTTGCTCCTCCAAAAATAACTAACAGGGAGCTGCAATCATTTTCAGTATGTTGGAGTTGGCATGATTAGGATAAGAGCCTCATTCTGTCAAATAACTGTTTAAGGGTAAAGCCCAGTTCTATGCCTGTTGAAGAGTCTGATGCCATATACTGCTTCCCTATAGTGCCTCCAACCACTGGAAGTGCTCAGTGTTGTACGCAGGGGTTTTCTTACTTTTTTACAAATTCCAACTTTTTTTTATGAAAGAAAGACTAAATACTTTATGTTAGCAAGTTCAAAGCAGACCTCTTACTGCCTTTGTTTTTGAATAACTATCAGCCAGTCACAAAACTACAGTATGTATGGGTACTCTAAATTCTATCCCAGCAGAGACAGGAATTCTTTAAGGATTATGATAGATCCTTAGGAGAGAGTATTTTTTAAACCAGGGCTTCAGTGGTCCTAAAAATACTGCGATGTAAGACAGATGCATGGAATGGACAAACAAAGCTCTTCACCCATCTACCTGACCTAGAAATCTATTAATATATGGTTCTTGATATGATTAGTGAAATAACTTTTCTAGAGAAGAGTAGAGAGGAGATGGATTAGATAGTTGTAGTGGGATTTCTAAAATTTGGAAGTAGGTTACTGCAGTGGTGGGAGGGGTAGGATGTGCAATAGTAACTGGAAGGACAACAGGGTAGCACCTTAGCTGGAACTAACTAGAGAGCACATGGCTCCCAGCCAGGGGCAGACTGACAACTCATGGGCCCCCCGGGCAATAGGGGATCATGGGGCCCCTGTGTCCTTGCCCAAACTCAAAAAAGCCTATGAAAAAGGTACCAGGGGCATCTCATGTCGCCCCCTACTGACCCCAGGCCCTTGGGCAGTGCCTGAGTTTCCAAATGGTCAGTCCGCCCCTGCTCCCAGCCCATCCTCCCTTTCAAGGGTATTTGATTTCCATATGTCTCTCTGAATTCTGACATTTCCAGTTTCACCTCTTTCTACCTCTTTCTCAGATCAAATGCCGAGGAGTGGCTGGCTACCATCTGTGCCACTGATGTTTCAAACCATGGCCAATGTCATACTTATTAGAAGACTGGCATCCTATAACAAGCACACTTTACACGCTTTAGTAACACTTTGAATGAGCAGTGCACATGACAGGTCAGAGTCTGAGTTTGACCTGCTATGCACCGACTAATTTCTATGAATACAGCATGTCCTATTAAGGTGCATTTTAATGGCAGGCAAAGCAGATCAAATGTAGCCTTTCCTTGTGAACACAGAAATTCAAACGTATGCATTTGTGTTTGAGTAGCAAATGCACTGCTTGACATGAATGCCTATCACCATGAGCCCTTTTCTGATTTTGATTTAGGCACACTGCTCAACTGCTATAACAAGAAAGTGGAGGTAAGGCTATGAACATAGAATAATTACCATAATTGTCTGACTGAATATCTATTTATGTGACCTCATATATGCTTAACGCATGTGAGGCTATAAAATACAACTGGAACACAGTCTGCAGGCAGGATGAGTGCTATGAGCCAATGCTGTGACCTTACAAGCCCTAATGAAAGTTTTGTAGCAGGGGCGGACTGACCATTTGGAAAGTAGGGCACTGCCCGAGGGCCCGTGGTCAGTAGGGGGCCCCATGAGATGCCCCTGGTGCCTTTTTCATAGGCTTTTTTGAGTTTGGGCAAGGACACAGGGGCCCCATAATCCCCTATTGCCCGGGGCCCATTGACTTGTCAGTCCACCCCTGGTTTGTAGTTTTGATACATGAGGCCTACAAATGGCCACTGCTGCACTATGATATGTGTAACAGCAGCTGGTTTCCAATAGAAACCATTTCATACTAGTGCCTAAAAAAATTCCCAAGGCCACAGTTTGATTCCAATGATGGACATGACCCACATACCAAATTTTGTCATATCAGTGCAAAACCTGGTGTTTTCATGTTCTAGTGCCTTACAACAAAAGCTGCCCAGCGCTACAATAAATCTAAGATATATTACAGTGTAATAGGTGCCTTGAGAATGTATAGAAGTCTAGACATAGTAAATAGCCATTAATCATGAAGCATCAAATACATTTCACAGTGAGAAAGCCATTCAGGATTAAACCTCACCAAGATAACCATCAGGTATTATCCTACCTTGATTTCTTTGACATTGGGATTCCACTCTCCCATGCTTTCCATGTTGTCCACCAGTTCTCCATAGACTCTATCCAGAGGCTTCTCCACAACTGCCTCCAGCTTGAAGACCTTTCCGATATCTGGCAAGACCTTACTTAATACTTTATCTCCATTTTCCTTTAAAAAGATATTAAACATTTAGTTGGTTGAAGTAAATACAAAGATAATTTGATAACGGCTGTATCAGACAGGATACTTTGTACTTTTCGCAAACAATTTGTTTCCGTATTTACCGGCAGATGTATGCCTACATAGTTTATAGTTAGGCACACTTGCAAAGGTGCCTTGATGTGGTCGTCTGGCTTAAATGCCAAAACTTTTCTGACCATACTACTCTTTTGGGTCACAGGAATGTGTGTACTTTTGCTCTCCTGTGACCCAAAATCAGCCAGCAGTGTGCTAAAACCTGACGTCACAGAGCCACTCCAGGCTCTGGAAGGATTCTGATCGTATTGTTGGGAAACAGCTAGCTGCCTGATTGAAAGCTGGCTCCAGTTCTGGCTTCAGTATTTAAATATCACTGACCTGGAACAAGTAGAAATCAAATTTGGTCAGAGTGAAGTCAGGACAGTGACCCCTAAAGCTTGTATTCAGTGGAAAGTCAAGCAAGGAGCATTTAAGAAGTAGGTTAGAAATCACAGCTTACATGAAAATGTACCGCCAGGTGTCCTTAAATGTAGAGCATTTCCCTCCTACTCACAGTGCTTGCTGAAATCTACGTGACTCAATTCTATATAGATGGACTGCAGAGCCCACATGAAATAAATAAAGCGAGTCAGAATTTATGGCACACTTCTCTTGTATTCATTTCCTGTTCAATGGACACACTTTTCATAAATCCCCCTTCTCAACAGTGTGTCCTTTCAATTCTTTGTTTTTATTTCAATGATAAAAGCGGCTACACAAGGGCCAAATATGGCCCATATGTACAGCAGCCTGTCCAACTGAAGCCGGCCGGAAGTCTGGAAGATTGCTGTACTAACATCACATAGCAGTGGATCACGGATGCCTTTGCCAGGCTCTTGCAGACTCTACTTCCAGCAATCTGTCCGTTGGAGAGTTAGGGGAAATATGAATGGACTACAAGTGCTCTAAAAACTGTACTTGTGTTCCAATTAGAACTACAAGAGCATCTGATGTCTGTGAATGAATAACACAGCTAGGGGGGGTCATTTGCACCATGTTACATGCTAAATACGGGTGCAACATGTAACATGCTGCAAAAGGTGGAGTTAGCCTTTATAGTACAAGTAAAGCATCTAATTTGTTCCACTAAGAGTAATAAATAGGCATTTTCAATTAAAGTTGGCACATTAAATGCCTTAAAAAATTAAATTATAACCCTTTATTAACAGTTAAGCCCCATCACACATGATCAGAAACTTGTACGGAAAATGCTGCTTTCAAAGCAACCGTATGATAATCCGATCGTTAGTACACAGCAATTGTCTGAAATTACTCGAAGGGACAAGCACAAAAATGTTTTCATGTAATACGATTTTTGTTTAACCAGTACAGTTTTCCTCTGAAAATACATTACAAATACATTACTTCTGAATTTTATTCTGTCTTTAGTAGCCTCTTCACTTTTGATATCTAGCATGCAAAAAGAAAAATGGACGATCATTTGTCCGATATTCTCAACGTGTATACAGGGCTTAAATGTATAAAGGAAACGGTATTTCTCCTGCACTATGCTGACAGTGCTGGGGAAAAGGGGGGGAGGGGAAATTGGGCTTTTACATCATTTAACTAGGCTCCTGTAGCTGTCAAACTAAAGAGCTGTAGATGGAGCTGGGTGTGGCTATCCACTGATTGGGCTGTTGAGCAGGGGTATATTTACCACAAAGCAAACAAGGCATTTTCCTAGGGCGGCATTTTTCAGGGGGGCAGCACTAACCCCCGGAAGAAGGGGCGGAAGAAGGGACACATGTGGCATGGGGACCAGGTGGGATCCTAGAGAGGCTGCGGGCTGCTTGACGGTGTATGTAGAGCCCGACTCTCATTCATGGGGATGTCTGGAGCTGTGAAGGTCTCTCACTGATTGGGGGGATGATATTGGAAGGCTGTCTTGGGTGGTGGGGACAGGTTTGTTGTGGGTCAATGTCAGGCTCTCTGTGGGGGGGGGGGGGTGTTATTGGTTGGTGTCAGACTCTCTCCGTGGGGGGGCGTAGGATTGTTGTGTTGCCTAGGGCAGCACAAAGCCTAAATACACCACTGCTGTTGAGAGTGCTAATAGTTGAGTGAGCAGCTATGGCAGCAAGATTGTCACCCTCTCAAAGGAAGTACCTATCTTATGGATCTACTGGCAGGATTAACAGGTATATACAAAATGTTCTGGTAGTACTTGTATGGGCAGCCTATATATCATAGTGACATATACAATTTTACCGTTTAAACATATAACCTTAGAGATTGTACGCCCCTTGAGGGTTAGGGACTGATGTGAATGTACAATATATATGTAAAGCGCTGCGTAAATTGATGGCACTATATAAGTACATATAATAAATTTGTGTATTTTATATATTGTCAGAATGTTAGGTGATCAAAATATATAAAACTTGGCTTACCGCCACAATCTCAACTTTCCATCCATCCTGCTCTCCAAGGATGTTCATTGACTTCTTCAATGCCTCTTCTCCCTGTTTGATGTAGGATATCTCAGCTTCATTAAAGGCTTTTTCTTCAAGCCTGGAACCTGATGGAAAGAAATATTCATAAATCAACAAACAACATTGTGGATGGTGATGAATGGGCCCTCAAAAGTTGATTCCAGCTCAAACACAAGAATGCTTACTGTTCAGTCATGAATGATTGTAAACACAAGAGAGATTGATGGACTTACTCAGTAAGGAACTCCTTCTTCGAACTTGGTTTATCCATTGACTGGGCCCAGGTCCAACCAGAGCCAGCTTCTCCAGTTGATGTGAGAGAGCTACAGCAGCTGTCCTCCGTAGACCTACCAAACGAATGCAACAAGCATACATTAATGGGTTATAAACAATATTGCTGAATGTAATCTGACATACATCTGCAGGAATACACATTTGTTTTTAATTAATTCTGCACTTCAGGCAATCGGCTAATTACACAGTTGCAATGCAGATATGGGAACTAATCTGTAAAAGGATTTGTATATCTTTTCATCCACTCTTGTTATACAAGTACCTCTGGTAGACAGCAAGCTAGGCCCATGACCCCCTTGTTGACTATACTGCAAATAAAACTTAACTTGGAGCACATAAACTTAAATATTCCGTAATAGCAACAAAGGATATCAGTTCATGCTGTGTGCGCTAAAAGCCTTTGCAAACCTTCTTATTACTTTATTTGAAAAAAATTGTGACATCTGCTGTTTACTTTCCATTTCTAAGGACTGCATATCCCATGGTACCTTGCTTCCTGCAAGCTGTGATTCCTGTACTAACTGCCTCCTGCAACTCCTCCTCTCAGCACTTCTGTAGATCAGAAGGCAGGCTCTATGAAATGTGTGACACAACAGTGCCTACCAGTGTTGCCAACCACCAGTATTTTTACTGGCAGCCAGTTCCAGTCCAGAGCTGGTCAAGACCATCCAAGTGCCTGCTACAGTGTGTTCAAATGGCTCCGGCAGGGGACGGGCCTGTCAGAGGCAGTGCCTGAGTGCATTGTGCGATGTCATGGTGCAAGGTAGCCGAACGGAGCGGCCGGAGCCTTGTGCGCACGTTTGCAATATAGGAGCAAGGCAAACCAGGAGCTTGATTGCCAGTGCTGTTTGGACTGGAGTGGACTGAAGGGACCACCTGGCGTAGAGAGAGACTGTCACTGTGACTCAGGAGGGGATGTGTCGTGTCGGTGAGGTGTCATCATTATCATTTGTGCTGCTGCACACTGCTATCAGTGTCACTGTGAGTCAATTTCAAGTGCGTGTGTCTGCCCATTATAATATCTTACCCTCCTGAGTCCTGTCCCTAAGCTACTTACTTACTATTTTGAAAATAAAATAAGAAATATGTTTTTTCCCTTAATATCTACATAGAAACATTGCTAATTGCATATTGTACTTGTGTGTAGCCTAAATACTGAAATTTGCAAATAAACAGTAATTTTGTAACTTTGGAAACGCCAGTAAAAACTCGGCTGTGCCAGATTTTTTACTGCTATCTGGGGCTCCATTAAAGATTTATTCTATCTTCCTGTCCTGCTGACATTTCACCAGACAGGAAGCGAGGGGAATAGCAACACAGGCAGAAATAAAAGGTTTTAGGCAAAGGCTAGAACCATTGTCAGAGTTCTAGAGTTCTGTGTCTCCATGTTTGACTATTGCAGAGTTGCCCTCAGTTCCTGTCTGGTGGAACCATTGTCAGCAGGACAGGAAGCGAGAATAAATCTCCATAACAGATCCCCCTGATAGCAAAACCTGACAAGGGTTCTAATCCTTCCTATTTCATGCAAAACTAGAAAATCTGTTTTTGGTTTGACATGCACAATAACCACCTAACGCCCGCCCGCCATGTACTGCAGATGGGTGACCGCTGTAGGGAAAGACGTACTCGTACGGAGTGCTTCCATATTTAACTTTAGGAGGGGATCCCTGAGTCTGGAAAATTTGTTCAAGAGTTTCTCTGGGGTAAAAAGTTGCGAAAGACTGATCCAGAGGATTGGATACATGGAGATGGCAGTAATGTAGTTAGATATATGCTGTAGAAAAAATACATACGCATACCTCCCAACTTACTGTAATGGAAAAGAGGGACAGCTTTGAAAGTATGTAGGCAGAGGACACCCAATTACAATAACTGGATACACAGAATATAACTGGATACTAACATTTATAGGTAAAGTTGATCCAGGGAATATCCGATTGCCTTTCCCTTGCAGGAGCAAATTGGATCATGCTTTGCTGGGTTTTTTGTCTTCCTCTGGATCAACTGTGGGTATAGGATTATAACTTTGTTTTTTTTTTTAATGGTTGAACTGGATGGACTTTTGTATTTTTTTCAGCCAGACTATGTAACTATGTAACATGGACCATTAGAAAGGATTAGTTAAACTGACAAGTGCTTTTTGTCACTGGTGCTTTTTTAAATTGATAATAAAAAAAATACATCCATTAAGAGGTGATGAAGCAGTCTTTTTTTAATACAATCTATACATCAGACAAAAAAAAAAAAAAAAAGGTCAAATGAGGGAAATAGGAACAGCCCCTCCATATCAGGGAGCTATGCATACAGTATATGATAGTCATTGAGGGTGAGGTAGTAGACAACTCCTGCCTTCCCCAATACAGATTAGGACCTACAGGGGCATTTTATTTTTTTTTTCTATTTTTTTTCTACTGATGTAACTGCTAGTTGGCAGTCGTCTCATTTGCACATCAATAGCATCATGATTACGATCATTGTCATCAAGCAGTTATATTTTTCAGTAGCAGAGAGGTTTACGTAATTGCTTTTGTATCTTCTAAGCAAAATTGTTTTATTTAGAAGAAAATAAGTGCAATCAAAGAAGGTAATCCAACCAGCCAGCTGACTCCTCTCGGCACGGGGATTTTAATAGTACCCATAATTAAAACAATTGTCATCAATTGTCTTTACTTTATAAGTTTGCTGGTCTTTCTGTACTATTCCAGAGTGCTTTTGAAATTTGGCAGTGAGATATAAGGCCTGATATAAGATCCATTACGGTAAGGTATAAAGTGCTGAAAGGCTCTAACTTTTTGATAAGTCACTTGCTATTTAAAGCATGTATGAACCAAGCACAAACATTTGTTGCAGCTTACCAATCCGTAGATGTGGTGACTGAATTCATTTTCTTTTTTTATGCTTTATCTGTTATTTTCACCTGGTGATCCTGCCAATAGCACACTTCCTGTTCTAGGGTGACAACATGCATGTACTGTACCTGTAGAGAAGCAGTGTTGTCACTTTAGGACAGGACTACAGAACACCTCCCTCTTTATTCTTCTCCATAACATAGGGAGAGGTATTGTTAAGTCCTCAGGGATAGGTAAGAACAATTTTGATAAGAGCGCAGTGCAGTCAGAAAACACAGAAAGCTTTCCGCTCACAAGATTTCTGGCAGGTTCAAAAGGTATTTTTTGCACTTATCAAAACAGATAAAATAAAACCCTTTACATTTATATTTAACTCATTAAAAGAGAGAAAATATAAGAAGTTCATTGTTGTCATCTATATAGACTTTAAGTCAGCCTCCCACAAAAGATTAATTTGACTAAGGCTGGATAGAGTAAAGCTGACCATAGATGGATCCAAATCTGCCTAGTTCAGCAGAGACAGGACAAACTTCTATCCATCAATGGCTGTTCCCAATAGGGAGAAGTCAATCTAATGATCGGCTCAAATGGGAATATTAGAAATGTTTCATTCGATCAATGCTGCAGCCAATTGGAGTCCCACTGTCAGAATACAATAGGATTCTTTCCTCGACCTCAATTGTGTGGATGGGGGAATCCCTTCATTTTTTTTGATCAGCTGGCTAAATAAAAACAAACATCAATCTATGGCCAAATAAAGGTACAAAGAGGTTCAGCATCTGAATATTTTCCTCCTTAGGATCTGCCATCCCTAAAGCAAACCATATGTTAACCAATTTTGTTTCCTTTAACCTTGGTTTGAAGAAAAGGAAATTGCTTGATTCCCCCATCAACACACTTAGTGTTGATAGGGGAATCCCTCTTGCAGAGATTTCCCATCTGTCAGAATACGATAACTGCTTGTGGCCATAGCTGCCGACAGTGATTTAATATAAAACTGACAGGCTGGATATAATGAAGTCGATCAATAGATCAACTTCAGTACAACCAGCCTTCCCATACTGTACATGGATAAAAATTCTTGCTGTACCAGCCGAATTTCGATCCGTCTATGGCTTAAATATACTAATAATTCACAATCAGCAAAAAAATTCCCAACATTTATTTTACATTGTCATGTTACACAAAGGACTCATTACCTAATCAAACCAAGCAATAAACGTTTTATATTCAGTCATGGTTCTAAACACAATACAACAATAGAACTGCTTCAATAAGAAATCTTTATAATATTACTAGTCATAACAAAAAATAATCAGAATTCATAAAATATAAATTTTGAGAACTACACAATAGCAGATTAGATATTAGCGATATAGTCATTTTGCATGTTAGTTGATTGAGTTTAATGGCAATACATTACCTGTCATGTTGCGTAGATGTCGGTATGATATCCCAGCGCACAGCTTGAATGTAGCAGGTAGCATGTCTTAAATGAGTGTAATATATGCCCAGTTAGAGGAAGGTAGTGTGAGCTGGTGACCACTGGTTATGTATTTGGTGTTGGTGGATAGTCAATATTTCCAAGCTCGCTGTAGATGGTCAGTATCTCTAAGCTCACACTGTATGGGCCGTCTGCTGTTGGTCTATAGGAATATTGGTATATAGGACCAGTGACAGGGTGGTTATCTAAGCCCTGGGTTGATGTGATCTGCACTGCTGGGCATGCTCCAGAATTCTTTTTAAATCCTCCAGTGTGAAGGATGCTGTGCTGCAATGACAGAGATAAGGACACAACATAATTTGCTGGAGGCCAGTGGGAGCAAGGACAAAAGCTACACAAACATGTCAGCCGATGATTAAGACCTGATACAACACATCAAGGCAATGATGAAGCAACAACCATTATGGCATTAACCCTATCTAAGGCACTTCATAAAATACCCCCAAAATATTACAAAGAAAATCTTTAAAGTGTGGTAAGTTCTTTTCCTATCATAAGTGACTAAAATGACTGGTGTCTTTTCATAAGAATAGGTATGTCTTTAAAAAAAGTCTGAAAATTTGGTACATTTTTTTTTGTTACAAAAGCACTAATCATATTATTATTATTATTATACAGGATTTATATAGCGCCAACAGTTTGCTCAGTGCTGTAATCATACAATTTAAATTGGCTTTGTTATATTAATAGTTATATTAATTAATATTTTGTCAGACAAGGTTATTTGCAATAGATTGCTGGCTAAAAGTTAACTGATTAGGGGTCACCAAGCACAATTCTCCTGACCACTGTTGCTCAGCTATGGGCATCTATTACAGCCATTCTCAGCCATGGTTCAGTGAAATCCTAGGGTTCCTTCAGAAGTTGCTACAGTTTCCTGGAGTTGTGGCCGATTGACCTCCCATTTGGTGAAGCCTGCATAGTTCCAGGGCCAACGCCACTTGGCAAAGCCAACACCATGAAACCAACAATCTTCATAGCTATCAGTAAGGGTGGTATTCTGACCACCATTGTTAGGGGAGCACACTTCCTACTGACCATCAATGTAAGTGACATTCTTCTCACTGACCATCAATGTAAGTGACATTATTCCCACTGACCACCACTGTAAGGGAATATTTTTTCCCAATGACTACAAATGTATGCGGCTTTTTTTCCCCACTGACCACCAGTAAATTGGTTTATTCATTTCAAATTATTTCAAGGGTTCCTCTGGAGTGAAAAAGGTTGAGAAGGACTAATCAAATTATAATGGTTGCATGGTAGACATGCTCAACACATGCCAAGTTTACAGAGCAAATGGCGTCTATTGATGATCCATGGAAAAATTTGAGCTCAGCCTAATTCACTGCAAATCTACAACCAATTTACTCCATGCTTAACAAAACCACGTTTTTGTAAAACCCAACAAGAACCTTCAGGTTAAAGCGGCAACATACAGTACCTACCAGATGCATCAAGACAAAAGGCGTTCAGAGCCTTACAGCTGGATTTTCCTAGGAAGCAGACATTTCTTGAGTAGTAAAGCCTGTCTCCTGCCAACATGCTACAGAGAAGGACCCTTGCTCTCTGTGTTGAAGCAGTGGTCTCTCTGAAAAGGTCCTGCACACCCACTAAGGAGTCAGAACTAAAGCTCTTGAATTAACAAGTTTTTGGTGATTGCGGTGGTATACTTTTTATACTGGAAACCGAAATGTATCATGATATACTACATTACAACTTATTTTATCAAATTTAACCACCAGTCTGTAAGAATTTTGTATATGATTGATTCATTTTTCTGTGCTAAATGTATTATGATTCCATCATGTATGTATTCACAGCTATGCATTGGCAGTTTTCCCTTTCCTGTTTGGTTGTTTTGTTAGATTAGTGAATGTTCTTTAAAAAAGTTAAATAAAAGACCATAAATACCTATCTATAGAGAAAATATTAATTCTTACAATTCCGTTATATAGGATCTGCCTTTCAAGAGATATGAAGATATGCTGAAGAATGGCTGTCTTTATAGGCAATCACACCAACTTTGCAAACTTTTTGGGTGCAGAAAGCCCCACGGAAATGTATTTTCTGCTCCTGTGATTGGCTTTTTTTGGCAGAAAAGTGAGGATGTTCAGAAATTTAGGAATCATGTCCTCCATAATGTTCAAAAAAACTTTGGTTTCAGGACAAGTTCAAAAGATTTAGAACAGAGTGTCCACAGCTGTGTTACATCATACACGTTAGATAAGAAGGGATAGACCATGTAGAGGTGATCTGGGTTATAATACCTGTGAAGTTTGCACACTCTCAGGCTCACCCTGCATAGAGATTTCCAGCTTGCAGGATAATAATTTAAGCACCAGCAAGCTGAGAGCGAACTTCACTGGGACAGGCCAACTCAGCAGTTAAAGTAAAATTAAAGGCAATATTTAAAAAAAAATCAAAATATTATACTTACCTGCTCTGTGCAGTGGTTTTACACAGATCAGCCCTGATCCTCTTCTTCCCGTGTCACCTGCAAGCATTCCTGGCCCCCTCCTCATGCCAAGTGCCCCCAGAGCAACCAGTTTGCTATGGGGGCACCTGAGCAGGCTCACTCCTGAACCGCTGCTCTGTATGTCCATTAACACACAGAGCCTTGGCTCAGCCCCTCCTCTCTCTCCTTATTGGCTCACTGGCTGGGATTTACAGCAGTGGCAGCCAATAGCTGAGGCTGTCGCGCACATCGCTAGATCGCAGTGGGGCTCAGGCTAGAATGCTTGATTGTAAAAAACTTTGAACCTTTACAACCACTTTAACCTTTTTTACTGAACGTACTGTTCTAAAATAAAGTCTGTATCATTTGTTGCCAAGCCCAGACAGGAATGTAACAGAGTTTACACTACAGTAGCTTCTTCAAAGGGGAAGGGTTCCTAATTGCTAGTTAGAATTCATCTGAATGATTTTTAAATATTGCTTTAATGATAAAGATAAGAAAACAGTGCAAGAAATATTTACAGAAAAACTGTTACAAAACCAGACATACTGTAAATAGCAGTACAATGAAAGGGTTCAAAAGTCCACCTGGTTATAGTAAAGTGCAAAATTGGGATCACTTGAAGAATAAGTCCAGTCCTATGTTTCCTTTATTGCAACCCTGGAACTGATCAAGTAATCAGAGCAGAGATGTCCACCCATCGAGCTCTCTTACTTCCTTCAGCTTGAGGGAATCTCAATATCTCCACAACAGAAGCAGGTAATATGATAAAGTTAGTAAAAAATTTTGCAGTGTATATCAAAGTGTTCTAAAAAAGGATTTTATACAAAAGTGTTCTTTCAATTTTAATACAAATTATTGTCCATTTCAAATGTTGGGAGATGTGTTTCAGGGTTTTATTTTCACTGGTCAGAAAAGAGGTCACGTGTTTATATTTTTTGGTGCACTTTGATAAGGAATTAAACACAAACTGCGAACTTCTATAGCAACTTGATTGCTGATCTTAAAATAGATCAAAGCTTGTTTACCTTAGATAAAGTTAGCAAGCAAGGCTAGGGGCCATTGAAGAACCAGAAATATAACTGGATTTTACCAGTGCCATGGACAGTGCAGATGATGGACGCCGTTTCTGTTGCCAAATTTCCATTAAATACATATGTAAATCAATCTTCTTGAACAGCAGTTATAACATCTAATTCATAGCTTCCATTTGTGTGTTCTGATGATTGGCTTTGTTAGTCTCCCATACTATTTAGCTGCCTTGATCTTAAAGAATATATAAATCCTCACCTTGTAAAACAACCCATTCAGTGTAAAATAGAAGTGAAAGATAAAACATTTGTGTGTAGATATAAAACATTTGTGTATAGATATAAAAAAAACATTTTAAATACTTTTATCCCTCTTTTTATAAGTGATCACATTTCCTGTTCTCAGCTGCATAAGAGCTGGGGGAGGAGAAACAGCAGCCCTGACCCTCTGAGGACGTGCATCGCACGAAACGCGTCAGAGGGGCTACAGCTTATAGACATCTAGCCACTACATGTGGCCAACATTTATGGTCAGTACTTTTTGTTGTTTCACCCCTTTTTTCGACTAATAAACTCAAGTCATACAGCATCACACTATATGGCGTCCTTTATTGGGCTCTCTTTGAGAGTACCACCTCCCGCAGTGCCTATCTGGACTAAGGAGTATTTCTGACGCCCACACGGTTTGATGAATCCTGGCTACTGTTCTTCGTGGTGAAACAGAGGATAGTACGGTGTGCGATCTGACCAGAGCCCTGAAGGTGGAGAGAATTTGCTGAATATACTTCTCTACATGCGTTATTTAAACGCACCTCTGGTGAGTGCGCACTCTATCTGTTCCTAGGATTTTTCATCTCTCACAACCACTGATCTGGGATGAGAACTTTTCATTTCCTACTGATTAGCGCACTGTTTACCATTGTATCACATCTTGCATCTCTTTGATCATTGGCATTTAGATGCATATATAATTTATAGAGAATTTTTTTCTGTATTCTGATTATAGCGCTGCACCTATTTTCTCTTTTTAGGAGAAACAGCAGCACACTGATCTTTGCAGTGATTGGCTGTGCAGGGGAGGGGAGATGTCAGGACATGTCTGATCATTGGAGGAGAGCACAATGTGTTCCCAGCATAGCTACAGAACTGACCATGTTGTGCTTTCATGCCTAATGTAGTCAGTTTTTAATAGGAAAGCAGAACTGTCAGGAACACCAGTGATTTCACACAAGCACTACAATGAAAACAGGGTAGTTCTTTAAATATGCAGTTAAAATAAAAATATTGTATGTCAAGGGTTTTGTTTTGTTTTTTAGAGGAACCCCAGTCCCTGCTGTCCCTGACTCCCACCCTTTACCCTCAACACCACTTTTTTAAAATAAATTTTTAATGTTATTTTTAATTATAATAAACCATTGAAATGAGTACATGTTAGAACATTATACAGCCCATACTGTATTGTGCATAATAGTTGCTCATAAGACAAACCTCCAC